TTTTTTCAGGTGCGCATCACTGATAAATTCCTCAACCTGATGAGGAGTTTATACCTGTGCAAAACTGAGGAGGGTGACATCCAAAAAACCCAAACCTGCCCAGCAAACATCTATATCTGAGCCCATGACAGCAGAAATGTCTCCTCAGGCAGCTCGGTGGGCTGCACGTCTGCACAACCAGCCCCTTCCCAGTTCCACAGCCAGGGAGACTCAGGAATTCCCATGCAACACCTACGTGCTCCTAAGCCAGACGGAGCTTCGTGCTCCTCAGGCCACTGTTCTCTGTTGCCCTTTAGCTAAGGGGACTCTGTGGTTGCTCTGCACATCTGGACCATCTGCACCAGCTGCTTTTGCTCGCCCAAGTCCCAAGACCAGGAGGGCTGTGGTGGAAGCAAGCCCCAACGCAGGTGAGCCATGTGCCCCAGGCATGCACCGATCCCGTGCAAAAAATCAGCTTGAGAGTGGACACCTGCCAACAACTCCAGCAAAAATAAGGCATGGCCGAGCCTCCAACTGACCTTCTTCATCCCCCAGGGAATCTCAGCCACAACATACTACCTGGGAGAGCTATCATCTTGCCCAAAGATGATCAGTGTTTTTCCAGCCTAAAAATAGACCTGTCAGGAAAAACACTAGCATCAACCAGGGTGAAAATAGCAGTCCCTTCCCCCATCCCTACCTTCTCTCATTTGTCAGAAGATAACAGGCAGGGATGACGAATCATTTTCTATCAAGAGGCAAGAGACAGACGGGAGCTGCTCGGCTGCTCGCTCACGATTTCCTTTCCTGAGGAGGGAGAGCCGTAAACGGCCCCAGCGCCGCCGCGGCAACAGCGGAGCGCAGGCCTGCCTCCCCCTGCAGCCTGTTACGGCCTGCTTAGAAAAATAACCAAAACACGGCTCCATTTCCATGGAGATGGGTTTGATGAAAAGCATTTTATCATTTTGGGAAACTATCCTGGAGCGTCTTATAAAACATCTTCAAGCACCTACAGTAAATATTGAACTGACAACTCAAACGCCGAGCAGAGGGTCGGGATTCCAACTTGCACTGATTTCTGTTGTTAAAATAAATGCATTTGGTGATTGGATATTGTTCAGGGCTGGAAATATTTCTTCCAACCACACCACAAGCCCTCAGAAGAGTAAAATAAACTTCTATAGCAGGGATACAGGTATGTACAAACAGACAGTGGCCATGCACAAAGGTACAGGTATTACTGTTGCTATTTCTAAAATGTATTTCTCAAACCTCTTTCAAGGTGAGCACTACTCTGTCTCTTACTTTGTTCCAAGCTAACTCATTTTTTAACTTGAAAAAAGCCTTAAGACCCTATTTCTAAGTGGATTTTCTTGTCTATCTACTGCTGGTCTCAAGTTTATATCGGTGCTGGTTGAGGGCAGGGGGTTGTGTTTCTTTTTCAAATGTTTCCTAAACTGCCCGAGTCCTTGGGATCTTGTCAAGCCACGTGTAGCTGTGTCATGACCCGCATCAAATCCACCGCTGTGGCTCTGCTGAGCTCCAGACGGACTTTCCTATGACTGGACACCAAAGAGACATAACACCCGTCCCCCAGTCACGGCTTCTTTGCAGTGGGCAGTCGAGGCCGCCTCGTCAGACAAAACTTACGCCCCTGGCTGAGGTGCTTCCAAAACCATCACTCCTTTGACCAAGACTCAGTCCATGGATTTTGAAACTATATCTTCCTCTGATTCCAGAGCTTCTTACGCTCTACAGCCAAGATCCCACATCAAGCATCCCGCACCTCTGTCATTAACAGCTGCCTTCTCCAGGACCAACTTTGTGAAATCCACTGTTCAGTCTAAATTCTCAGAAATTCCATTAACAGCTGTTTAAACGCTACACACTCCCTGAGTAAGACAGACCTCAAAATTTCACCCAAAGCCTTCCACCAGCCAAAGCTTCCTCTTCCAACAGCTAGGAAAGCATGCCAGCTAACGGGTGCTCCCCACCTGCAACCAGCCACAAAACAGAGATTCGGGAACATCTCACAACACATCCCCTCCATCCTCCTGAAAGTCATTCCCTCTGCAACTTAGGTTGCTTTGTCCTCATATTTTCCAAAAATCCTGTAACTTGCCATGTGTGGAATTTCATGACTAATTCTGCTTCAAAAAAAGGCATGTCATGGGAAACGTGACTCAACTTACGCCTGTGTCTCAGCGAACCCTCACAGGCCTAATAAAGCCTTATGAATAAATTATATGCCTGTTGGCTTCCTATTTTCCAGCACGATAAATGATGTACCGATGTATCATTGTGGATCTCCCAGGCTCCCGCGTAGCGCTGCAGCCTGCACGCCTCGGCGGACGCCCGCGCCGCGGAGCGTCCTGTAGGATCAGCAGAGACGAGCGCCGCAGGAGCCCGCGCTGAGGCAGGGCGCTTGGAGAAGGGTTCCAGGCGCCGCGTACCACCCGTTAGCTCTGCCTGCACCCAGACTTATAAGGTATCAACCAGAAGATACGGGAGACACACGCAATTCTAGATGATCAAACGCAAAGCCCTGGCAAAGCAGGTCCCGGTGACAACCGGTAAGGTGCAGCACGCGGTCACGGTGCGACACTTTCCATTAGGTGTCCGGGCCTTTGGGCAGCGCTGTATGAACAGCTCCCACCTTAAGCAGGGATCTCTTTACATTGCAATGACAGGTGGAAACAGTTAAATTTTAGGCTCATTTAATTAAAACTCCAGCAAAATACCTATCAAGCAATAGCATTTATGGGGACCCCATTGCTTCTAACATTCAACACTATATAGATGCGGACAGGGTCATGGAAAGACTAGGAGTATCCAGCTGAGCCTGGGCAAGAATATTAAAAACAAATATAAATACCACCAAATACAGGTTTCTCATGACTCAGGTCTGCCCTGACAAACCCAGCACAGCGCCTCACGCCAGGACGTTCTGCCTCTGTTCTCCGTAGGGTTGGAAGCAGGTTGTGACCCTGCTCTCACACCCCTCCTGTGCCCCTCAGGAGAGGGGATGCTCAAAGGGCTGCTCGCTCCAAAAATCCCTCTACCTTCTCCTCAACAAAAAGAATATAACCATAATTATATGCAAAATGTATGCAGGGAAAGCAAAAGATTTGATTTTCTGAATATAGAAAAAGGCAGGCTCCTTTGCAGAATCTAAATATACCTATTCAATAGCTCTTTACCTTTTTTTCGTGTCCGAGGTCCTGACTCTCTCGACGTTGGAGATGAGTAATTGTGCTCATATAAATAAAACGAGGCTTTTTCACAGATGAAACATGCAGAAGAGATCTGTACCATTAAAATGCCATTTTATCTATTTTTAAGGGTTTCTGCAAGACTAAAGGGTACAGAGGCACAGTGCCTCCACGAGAGGAGCAGTGCCAGCGTAGCAAGGTTACAAACACGTACAAGCAGCCGCAGGCCGAGAGCCCGATTACTAAAAAAAAAGCCAACAAGAACACTATGTTCAACACCCTCATTGAACCCGCTTGCTGGTCTAAAGTAATTTTTCAAAGTTCCAACTCCTCAACCCTTCCAGCTACCTGCATGGATACAACTACTGGCTTGACAGCGCAAGACTAAAATTTACCTGTTAAAAATCAATGTCAAATATGGAAAACACTGGAACACCCTGTTCTTTCTCCCCTGGAAAGAGTTTTAGAAGAGCCAGCCGAAATTCCAGACAAATAAACATTCATGGTAAAACATGGCTCAAGACAGAGTTAAACCTCAGAGGGATCCCTGAATTGTGCTTTCCTTAATGAATTTGATGATCGATTCCTACTACACAAATAAGGGGTGGGATGGATCAGCTAATGAGGATTCTCACTTAATTGCTTTCTTCAAGTGACTATTCGTACAAATGATACCATCAAAGGAGTAATGATATCCTTATTGATTAAATTAATCTCTAAAAGACAGTTCAAATGAGTTTAATTAGCGATGCATGACAGCAGCACAAAATACTCTGAAAACAACCTATAACGAACTTTGAAATCAAGGCAACAGCCACAGAATAGCCCTTTGTGTCCTTATTCTAACAAAGACCACACAATCTGATAGAGCATTTTAGTAAATACCTCTGACTAACCATGAAAATCCATGAAATCCTGCATCCCAATTAAAAATAAATAAATAAAATAAACAAAATGCACATCACAAGCAATCAGACTTCTTGCCAGTCACTCATCAAAAACCCCAGTTTTCTTTAAAATAAAATTTTCAGTGAAGGGAGTAGAGATGACAAGAGGAGCTTCTGCGCTAGAACACAGAAGCTAAGTAGGTTGGGATCCAGACAGTATCAAGACACTTCAAACCACGGGAAGGGGACACTGGGTTCATAAAAATTACTGACCCTTTTTCTCTTCCACTCAGAAATCCTCAAACACATGAAAAAAAGAGACGTCAGGCCAAAAAAAAAAAAAGACCAGGCTATTATTTCTAGGGGAGCAGTGGTGGGATCTGGGCCTGAGGGAACATCTTGCGGGTTAGGTGCTGGTCCCCAACATCCACAAGGTGCCCAGGAGGTGACAGGGGCAGGGGCAATACTTCCCTTCTGCATTTTTATGGCAAAACAGGTAACAGAGAAGCCACTGGAGCTGTGAAAATGCTTTGAAGAGACATGTATGCTTGTAGTCCTTAGCAAGCCCCTCATGACCCCAGAGAACATCTTTCTTGATCGTACTTGGCAGACCCCATTCTACACTCCAGGTCCTCACCATGGTGAGATCAAAAGGTTCACAGAATTACAGGCCAATGCTGCTGCAAAGCCACTAACAGACACGGTTGCCACACAGGCCGGCTAGAGCAGCTTCATCAGCTTTGCCTAATTAACAGTTGGGCTGTTGTCTTTCAGCGTAAGAATTTGACAGCCCACTGTGGAAAGAAGGACTATCAAACACTTGGCCTCTGTGGCTGTCAACTCAGCAAGGAAGACCCAGCACTATTGTCATTTGATTGCAAGGCATCCTTATATAAAAAATGAAAAAAAAAAAATCCATTGAAAATCCCTCAGTGGAATTACTAGCCTAAACTCCCTTGCTTAGTGAGTGCTTTGTGCTCGCTGCTGAAAAAAGGGAATTAGACTTCATTCTGCCTCAGGAAGTGGAACAGTGGACATCAGGGACAAGAGGAGGAATCGAGCACAACCTTCTGGAGACCCTCCAGCATGGTTATTAAAAAGATAAAAATACAGCAATACAGAGAACAACATGTTCCTCTTGTCACGGCCAAAGTTACCCCGCAAGCAGAACAAGAATTTGCCTGGGGCAGCAAAATCTTTAATGGCTTTTTTTATTATTATTTGAGCCAGCCAAAGATGTTTCCTAGCCCATAAGGGATCGCAGCAACCTTAGAGCTAGCTTTGTGAATGAGAGCATCTGCTTTTTATTTATTTATTTATTGACTCATGTGGAAATGCTCTTGTTTAACAAACAAATCAGAAATTCGGGGAAAAAACCCAACAGTCGTTATATTTTTTATTTAGATATATATATAAATAATATGTATATACCTTTTGAAAATATATATTCTAAATAATTATTAAGTACTATAAATATGTGCACGGGCATTAATAAAAATAGACACTTGTACATTGACCACCATGCACTAGGACAGCACATTCCCTTCTACTTAATTCATTCCATTTTTCAGATTACTTTCACTTGATTTTAGCATAATACAGCTAGCTTGTTTGTGCTCGAAACACATTTTCCTGTCTTCTCCCAGCCTCAGCAAGGCTTTTTGTTCTTTGAGTGTTTTTGCTAGCACAGGAATATTACATTGAAAAACGCCGCAGGATTTGCGGAAACAAGACAGAATTTGCATCGCATCGGGAGGAAAATAATATACCTTTTGTATATTTTTCATTCAAGGCTCACCAGAATGGTCAACAAAGAACCACAGATATACTGTGTTGACTAAGCCAGTTATTAAACAGCTGAAAAAAGGAGGAGAAAATAAACAAAACCACAAAGCCTCAATATTTTATATTAAGATTGAATCTTTAAAAGATTATTAAAGAAGTCTTACATTATTGACAGTGGGATATGCCTACTATATACCCTAGCCGTAACAGATAGCCTGTAGATCAGGATTATTAAAACCAGATACGTCTGTCCGAGACGTGAAATGCCTGACCGTTTCCATACACGGCCCATGGTTAACGTTGCATCAAATATTTATAAGAGAAATCTTTCTGCAAAGGGGAGCTCAAATATCTGCCAAGAGCAGGAGTAATTTCTGATGTTGCTGAAGGAATGGGGTCAGCTACATCAATTCCATGAATTTTTCTCTTAGTTACCCAGTATTCAAACACACAGGTCAGCATCAAGCAGACGGGACTGATCTGCCGTGAGGTCTTGGTTGCCTCAATGGACTGCCACCCTAGGGTCCATTTTTAGAGCAGGACGCTCAGCAATCTTTGAAAAAATCCACTTTACAGGCAGTCCCTGTAGGGTGGATTTCCTATATAATTTGGCTATCCAGAACAAGAAGAATTTTTTAAGTGTTGGCTGGAACACACGAGCGTGCGAGCAGCCAGGGAACATGTGGATTGGAAAGGCAAGTCCGAGAGCCCCACTGGAGAACGAGAGAGATTCTTTCCTTTCCAAGACGATTTTTCTAACTAGTCTTTCCAAAAATTGCAGTGCATAAAAAAACAGGACATGGGCTCATTATTTGTCCCCGAGACATCCATCTTACTTTTCTAGTTAAGAAGCCAATCTTCCATGAAATCGCCCAAAAACCTAACAGATGGGCTGATTTTATTAATTGTGAGAAGAATATTTCTACAACAATAACCTTAAAAAACAGAAAACAAACCAACCAAACAAAAAAACTAAGAACAAACAAATTTGGGTATTCACAAGAGCAGCTCAGTCTGGAGTGAGCTCTCCCTGGGCCCGGCAGCCGGCTGCAGGATGATGTGCAATAATTACTTCACACGGAGAAGAGCAACGCAGCATCTTTAAAGCCTTTAATTTCTATTCCCTGGTTTAAATGAGATTATCGCTCCCTGTAGCTAGCAACAATGGATGTTTTAAGTTTCTTTTGATTTGCCAGCAAAGCAAATATCCTCTGGTAAATCTGTGAACTAAACAATGATTTTTCATTTTTACAACGGCACAGTCAATTCAATTTTCCAGTTAAAAGTCTCAAGTCTCTCCCTATCAGCTTGTTAACGTGCAAGTGCTTTATTCTAAAACATGCCTGGGAGAATCTCCATTGACTTTACCATCCCGTGTTGCTTCTGAACATTGACTTCATTCTAATGAATCACTTTACTGGATGTAACACTTGAATCGCTAAACCACTCCGAATATCACACACAGTAATCGAGCGATGCTGCCATGGCAGATCTGGATGGATTTACCGAGGCAGGGCTGAAAACATGTCTATTAATGTTTCACTTATCAGAGGAGGTTTTGTGTGCTTATGAACGTATTTCATTTGCAGCTGCTTAAAGCCTGTAAAATATTTTCAGGCTTCACATCTTCTTGAAGTATTCGCAGGAGTCCCACCAGCCTTCTGATGGTTCTTTGCAACAAGTTAAACTAAGAAGCACCCAAGAAGAAGTGTATTTGCTCCCCAAAATAAGCAATCGCCCTACTCTCAAACTGTCATTAAAATGTTAGAAACAAGTCAACCCACACTTCTCATGAAGCATTCTAACAACTGTCTAAATTAAATTGTTAAAGCGTGGCTTTGCGTTTTTTACATACTCCAAGGTGCGATTTTGCTTCCAGATGTGTCACAAACCTTGATACCCAGCTCTATGTTCTCTCCTCCGTACACGTCCATCCCAGGGTCGAGAAGACCTATCTCTCCAAAGAACTTCCTGTGCACCACAAACGAGCAACCGATCATTGCTGGCGTCCTGTACAAAGAGGAAAGAAGTGTGCAATTATTGTCATTTTCTATCTTTTAATGAACAGAGACATAATTTTACCAGTGCAAAACTTAGAGCTCTCCAAAACTCAAGTTCATTACACTGTGCATCAACCAGAGAAAGAATTTTCATTGAATTAAAGTACTGAAACACTTGCAGTTCCTGGCACTGTCACAAAGATCTTGGTGTCTCTATGGCCACAGGTTTTTTTGTGTTTCCATTCGCCACTGGCAAAGGAAGCAATCGTTTTTCCTATCACTTTTTTCTATCTCTGGAGTAGAAACATCTGCTGCGTTATTTGCCCTGTTGCACCCATATTCATGTTGCTCTGGATTGGTATGTGATAAAACATCCCGTGGGACCTCTAGGCCTCCAGCTAACAGCCCTATTCATCTCCACTCTGGAAGAGCAGCCAAGCACAAGGATTCCAGTCAGGGATAGCAGCAGCAGACAGCTACCAAAACCAGCACTGCAAAAACAGCCGAAAGATTGAGCACAAACCTGTACCGGGGCTAGGGTGTAACTGTGCAGTTCCAAGGATGCAGTAGATGGCTGTGTTTACGAACCGGCCCAGGAAACACATGCATGCCCTGTCCTTCCTTGGTACCGTGAAATAACCAAATCCATCACTGGAGAACGCTGGACCCGATCTCCCCAGCCAAGGACACTATTCTGATTCAAATAAGTTGATTTTTTAATTGTTTTTTTTGAGTGGTTAAACACTTGCAACCGCCTCTGCAAAGCCGCATGGTGCCACCAAGCACGACACTTGACAAACCTGGAGCATTACGCTCGTGATGTCCTTCCGATATATTAATCTACTGCGGCTACAGCGAGCAGGAAGTTTAGCCACTGGGTTTTTTTTTCTGTAGTAAAATAGAAGGATAAAATCCATTCTCGCCTTCAATCTATTGTTCACTTGGGTCTATGCTGTAAAGGGTAATGAAAAAAAAAAAAGTATCCACTTATAGGGACCAGCAAGGAAGAATTCGTATGCATTTTCCATCTAATCCATAAGCCGTTCTCCTCAGACACCTTCTGCCCCCAGCCAAGCCAAGTGACAGTGCTCTGGGCAGGGAGAAGTTCCAGCTCGCGTGACGGGACACTGCTGCGGCCCAGACTGGTAATGGTTTAACCCGCACCTGGAAATGCCTCTTCGTTTCTCCAGAAATCCAAGTTCTCCACATAGAATTTGGTCTCAAGGGAGGAACAGGGCAACAGCATCCAGGATATCACATCATAGATGCAGTCTATAGTGCATCTATAGTCGTGGCAACAGCAACAGCTTTGCAACTCGGCTTGATGACAGGAGACCAAATTAATCCTCGAGAAACACATGAGTTCCTTCCACAAAGGGTTCCAGCCACTTAAGTATCATTATTTATAGACATTTTAATACTTTTAATAGACTCTCAGAGCAGCTGAATGCTGCTGCCATATTAAATTAGTTAGAGTTAGGATCCATCAGAATTTTGTCTTCAACAGATTTTTTTCCCCTGACAGCCAGCCCGGCCTTCACTCCAACAAGCGTTGTAATGTTTCATGATTTGCTGCCACTCTAGCACTTAAGATTTCAATTCTATTGCTTTATTTGTAGCACATTAACTACCATTAGCAGAAACAATTCTTTCTGAAATGACAACCATGTTAGGGATGCCAAATCTAATAGCTCCATTATCATACATTATTGCGCCAAATTAAATAAAAGGACAAGTTGCTTGGATTTGATGCAGAAGATGAAGAGTCCAGTTTGTTTCCTCCATGGGGAAAGGGGTGCATGAGAGCACAGCAGCGTTGGGCTTCTCCGGCCAAATGTGCACATCTGCTAAAGGCACCTAGAGAACAGCTAAAGGCAGGTGAAAGCTGCAATTGCATTTCAGACCAAACAAGTTGGACCAGCAGAGAGGCCAGGGTTGCTGACTGGAAGCCCTCAGATCTCCAAGCCCCTGCTCCTAGGACTTGCCGCAGAGAGATTTTACAGTAAAATACAACTTTTTCAGCGGTGTTAACACTCTGGAAAGGCGTGCAGAGAGCAAGCGTGCTTTGATCATTCTGGAGTGAGGCAGCCAGCAAGGCGGATCTATTTAGGATTTTCTCCAATATCAATCCCTAGAAATTGGATCCAACAAGAGGCTGCTGGTTCCAGCATTTGGTCATGCTAATAGTTCTTATAACACAACTCTTAAAATAAGAATATACATATATATGTGTGTGTATATACACATTATATATATACACACACCCACATTATATACATTATATATGTGTACACACGTGTGTGTACACATATATAATGTATATACACACACTATATACATATATATAGTTACAAAGCAGCTCCGCAAAGCGGCCCCTTCTCCCCTAGACCACCATCCAAGAGAGCACTTTTTGCAACACATTTATTTTATATGACACTGATTCACCAAGTCTGTCCAAAATTCTCATGGAAACAATGGAAACAGCCTAATGGAGATTTTGCAACCTGACCTTCCCGTTCTCCTCCTCTTTATTTTGCTGCAAATTTATTTTGCTGCAAATTCCGTTTCCAGCCAACGACACCGCAAAGCGGCTCCTGAGCAGAGCTGAGGCCCCCTGAGCAACACAATTTAAGTGCCATGTTCCTCTCTGCAACAACGGCTCTGTATTAAATACATGGGGCTCATGCAGCGCTCAACAATTCAAACAAAAACAACATTTGATTTTTTTCTGAAATCCTTCAGCAAAGGTGTTTGTTTACAATAACAGATAGTCCCTCCATGATGAAATAACAGCTTGAAGGCAAAGAGCTGATAAAGCCTCCTCTTTCTCTGCCCCTTAATTAACAACATTAACGCAATTTGTTTTTAAGGATCATGCAACTCGGTTCAGCTCCTTTGCCTTCATCCTAAGAGCTACAAATTCTTTAATGAGAAAGGATGCACAGAGATGTTTAGCAGCACTATTCGTTTTGGACCTCAAATTCCGCACCTTGTTGGTTCCTTATTGTCACTTCACTTGACTCCACTGTAAAACAAAGGACCAAAGATCTAGAAGTGCAGCTTTTATGAAATATCCTCAGCATGAATCTCTAAATAAAGATGAAGAAGATCCAGGGAGAAACGTTTATCCTTGTCCATTAAGTTACTTTAACCGTCTTCCCTTCTTTAGCGCACAGTTACTCCCGAATGATTAAAATGTCTCAAGTAGATTGCCTCTTCAATTCAAGGAAATTAATTTTCCTACACAATTGGATTTTGCTTCCAATTTTACACTAAAGCACAAGTTATAAAAAACGTAGGAAAAAAGATATTAAAAAAATAATTAGCGGTCATACTGCTGAGAGCAGGAAGCCTGAGAATGTATTTTAAGAATTGCTGGGGTGTCCAGTTTTCATTAAAGTGCTGTTGTTCTTAATATACCTCAATCATGGAGCAGCTCCGTTTTCAGCAGTTTTAGTAGACGTGGCTCTACTATTTACCTGGGATGATCTTCTAGCTAACTACAAAGATGTTATTTGTCCCTGTTAACCAAACTTGCCATTGCTAATTTAATGTACCAGACTCAAACAACTGATTTTTCTGCTTTGAGATGTCAGCGTCGTCAAAAAACGGCCCCGTTTTCTTCCTTTCGCTGCCTGGCTGCACCTCTGGTCACAGCTGGAAGGGACAGACCAGAAGGGAAGCATCAGCA